TGAACTTATGTAGCGTTGTCGTCTCGTCGCGCGATATCGATCGCGACCGCGCGACAACGACCGCCCGAGGAAGGAGTTGTACGTGCGAATTATTTGTCGCAGGTGTAGGGGTGTCAAACTAACTCATTTGTTGCGGTGTGTGAAATTGTTAATGTGAATGACAAGCTTATTAAAAATGAGATGTGACTTCGTTTTGTTTTAAGTTTTAAATTATTGAAGCTCGTTTGAAATCAAATAAAGTGCCAATCGATAATTATTCACAAGCATTTTCAAAAAAAATCTTTAGTTATTATACATCTACTAGGCTCTAAGTAGGTATATTTAAAAGATCCAAAATAAGGTTACAAAGTTAACAAAAATTATCTTTGTTATAACTATTCATACTAACAAAATTTTGAACAATTGTACTAAGTTCACCTTTAAATAGCAATGCAAAATAAATGAATGTGATTTTTTTGCAAAACATTCGATGTTAGATTCTGTAAAAGTCTGTAAAGCTCTCAATTACACTAACGAACTCGTCGATTTGACTCGATTCCCGACTTTATTGCTCAAAGCTTAAGGGTTAATGAGGTAGATGGACTTACATGACTATACTTCCCTAGTACTATCGATCTGGGTCCAATGACCGATCTCAGTTAAAAGTTCCGTAGTTACATAGCAGATTTGATTATAGGTACTTTTTTGGGATTCGGTAACTTAAGGGGGAAAAGGTGCCCTTAGAACGATCCCTTCCTTAAAAAGCATTTTACCTAAAAGTGTAGTAAGTTCACGTAGTGATAGTGCGTGTAATGATTATTTCAATTTACCTTCAGGGAATAGAGAAAAGTTCCCTAAGATCGGAAAACAAGGAAACGTCGCGTCGTCCAGATGAAGTGATCATATCTGGCGCTACGGCCCAAACAGTTCATCATCATCATCATCACCAGCCTAATTTTGTCCACTACTGGACATAATCCTCAATCAAGGACAATCCCATCATCATTCAACTTCCACATCCTGAATAAGATTAGCAAATTAAACAAATGGCTAGTCATTGAAACCATTGGCTAAATGGCTAATTTAACATACTAACTACCTACCGCGCCTCCGAGGGCGGGAGAAAAGAATACAAAAACGTGACTGTCGAACATCATATTAAATGCCAATACTACGGATAAATTCCAAGTTTACAATTGTATATAAAAGCTAGATATAAGCGGTATAGGTACATGTTGTATGCTATCGCACCGTGTGTTAGCACGTATCGAACGAGAACCAAGGATGTTAGTAAGTCTGTTACATTTAACTTTTCGTTTTAACTCAATTGTAATACCATTCTTGTTTCCGATGCATGAGAGTGTGGCTTCGAAGCCTGGCATAGTAATGTTACATTTCTCGAGCTATAGCTACTTTCAAAGATTGACGAAGAACTCGACTAGATTCAAGGCACGTTAGGGACCCATATTTATGAGTAGATTTGCACAACACGCGACATTCCGAACATTCGAGTAGTTAACTCGTTCTTCAGTTAATAGTTACGTGTATGAACCATTGAAAATAATAATTAATTGAGTATGTCTCACAAAAGCTATGACAGTAAAACTTTCTAATTATTTGGACTCAACCAACATAACAGTGAATGGAAAAATCGTGTGGAAATATGAGGCTTATATAATTTATAACTAAGTATATTTTCTGGTTTTATGTTTTGGAATACTTTTGAAACTTATTTCTAATTTTCGACATGACTTATAAAGAAATCAATAAATAACAGGAGGTATATAAGGTTAAAAGTTACTAAAAACTCATTTGAATAATAATCTTGCCATATCCAATTCAAATAGCATCTATGAGCACAGATGCTCACTTGCACTCAACGGAGCGCAGCCAGATTCCAACCAGACACTTTTGTGTAAATGTTAACTTTGCACAAATATCTACATGCAAAACCTCTTTAAATTTTTAAACAAATAACCCTTTTCTAAAAGCTAATAAAGAATGCTTCAAACATATTTCTATTCAAGATTAACAAAATAGATCTGTCTGTATTGTCTAAATAGATATAAAAGAATAGATTCCTTAACTGGATTGGTATAAATCACTAGTCTAGACTTGAGCACTAAAAGTTCCTTACTTTCCTTGTTACAGGTTTATTATAAACAAACTTGAACTTAGCGTTCCCCTTCGCATTCAGCTCTGATTGGTTGTTTAAGAATTTTGAATTTTCAAAAGAAGTCTGTATTTGTTAATTCATTTTGAGAAGTCAAATTGGAATACTTATCCCTTATGTACTATATACTATATCTTGGATAACAGTAATAACTATCGTCACAGTAATTAAATGTCATTTTATGTTGTGACTAAAATCATCAGGATTATTCTAAGACTGGCTAAGGTATCAGACTTTTAGTGACTAAAAACTTCTCCTGGTATAGGCCGGGGATGTGGTCACTTACATTTTCAAAAACGAATTGAGAGACAAGTCGATAAAATATGTGAATTTTGCAAACCCTTTTAATAATATATTTAGACCCAAAATCACGAATATTCAAAAATTCCATAAAGCACACACTTTCAATTTGAAATTCGAACACGTATTCCATTTTTATTCGAATTCCAATTTCATATGAAACCTAGTACTTGAAAGTTCAGAAGCTGTTGAAAATGACCTAGTTAGAAACAGAGGTAGGCACGTGTCAATTCCATTATGCCAGATTCTGCATACGCCAGCTGAGAATTAGAACCCGTATCGGTAATCGATGTTAGGGGTCTTTCATAGTGGGGTCGATTTACATTTTCAAGTTAATGATGAAAATCGTTTGAATGAGACTTCCTAGTGTTTTGTCTTAAATTTCTTAAAATATCTCTTTCATCGCCGTACTTAGAGTCATTTGGTTAATTCAACAGAACTATACTTCAAATACGTTTTTTTTAAAGAGGTTAGGTTTAGATTAGCTTCCAATTTATCCAAAACGGTGATTAGATCTTTCTCTTGTGTGTTGTATCTGTAACATCTGTTGCTATTAAACTAGTTTTCTTTAATGGGACGTTTCTTTAATTCTCACTATGAATTATTTTAAAAGAGTTTAAAAAAAATCTATTATACATAAGCTGAACACAATAACAAAAAAAATTATACTTACTCTAACGCTTACGTTATAATTGGGAAAATACTAACGTTTAGTGTAAGCCGACCATAGTGGACTCTATAATTATAATACCCTGTTCTTCTTCGTAGATTTGTGCAAATATTAGGCCAAATTATTGTTGACCATTGACAATATAAATCTGATGCAGTGAGCCTCCCGAATGTACACTGTGCCATTAAACTTAAGTAGCCAAGATCCAAGTCTTTAAATTATATTAAGTATATTAAGTACACATACAAATAAATAAACCCACACAATCGGTAATCTATTAAACTATTACTATACGGAACTTAAAAAATTAGAAGTAAAACTAGCTCAATGGCAATAATGGCGATAAAAATAGTAGAATCAAAAATCATTTAACATAATCATCATATCAGCAACTAGACGTTCAATAATTAGATAGTTGAAAGCAATCTACATCCTGCAACCCTTTACCTTGTGGCGTCGTCTTGACAAACGAGCTGACGGATCCCCTGCTGGTAAGCGAGCGAGATGGTAACTTAAAATTAAACGAATTACAAGTGCGTTGCCAGTTTTTTATGGAGTATTCGAGATTTACAATTGGGGAGATTGAGCCTTCGTTAACGCTTCTCATAGCATAACGTACTCTGTGAGAACATGGTTTCCCGAAACATTTACTTGTGATAATTATTATAATGATAGTAATTAAACACCAATTACGATACTTACAACTACTCAACATACGAGGTAATATACCAACATACCATGGTTTTTATATGAAAAGTGGTTTTAAAACCAGAATCGCTAAGGAGTGGAATTCCTTGCAGAAATCTGTGATCCCCGAATACCATAATCTGAGTGTCTTCAAGGCTCGAGTGAATAGGTTGCTTATGGGTAAGCGTGCTCCATCGTAGGTCGCATTACCACTTACCACCAGGCGTGCTAGCAACCAAATACCCGCTCATAAAAAAGAGCTCATTGAAAACATAACAAGCACCTGTGAGTTTCCACAACGCTGCCTTACTGTCACGGCTGCTTTGCATGCATACTCACAGATGCCAAATTACCGGCTACCGGCAAATTGGTAGCGTGCACGGAAATAATCAACCGGTCTAAAGCCGGGCATGAAGTTTAAGTGGTGCTCTGGAGATCCGTGTACAGTAAGGAAAAGAGGATTTCTGTTATAACATTTAAAAGGTAATTAAAATCTTCGAACCTGTTTATGAATAGATAAATCTAAAATAGATGAAAAAATTGATAATAAGAGGTATAAGTAGCAAGTTTTATTTAATATGCACATGCTGATACCAAATTTGTTCACTATTTAATGGATGTTATTGTAAAAAAAATAAGGGAAGACTTCGTTTTATGCTACTATCGGAGACGGGGGTTGGATGACTCAGGGGTATTCGATTAGTCCATTACTTTCTGACGAAGAAGCGCTTCTTTCTTTCAATGCCAATTCTTTATCTTCTATCAATGATCTTTTCGAACGTTAAAGTTTCTTTCATGATCTCTGTCACAACTAAAACGTGATACAACAATTCCTGGTCTCCCCTGCTAAGGTTGGAATAAGATGATTATTCTGTCTAATATTCGAGAATTTAAAAGGCAAATTGGTCTTCACATTTTATTCCTCGTGGAGTTTAAATCTAACTCACATCATTAAAACAATACCAAAAGCTAATGACCCTGTTATCCTAACCAATAAAACAGAACAGACGGAAATTAGTCCGTCACTATAACAAGTTCAAGTTAAGGTATGACTCGATTCAATATTTGTATAACCGGCAAACACAGACTGATTTCTTAGTTTGTCATTACCATTTTCGGAAGACCCACCCTTTGAAGATAAAATGTCGCGTCGCTTCACTTCGTGTACCGAGTCATTTTTACCATTTCGTAGTCGATAGCAAAAGACGGTGATCATGTGATTGTTAAGATCTTAAACATGTTTAGTTATTGTGTATTCAATGTTTTGTTGTTTTGTGCCATTTCCATTTTTGCTTCTAAAATTGTTGAAGGGTGAGTTTTTTTCCTTTTATATCATTATCGATATGGTAGCTACCTACTAGACAGTCACTGCGTAACGTAGGTCTCACTTATGACGTAAGCTGTATAGTTTCGTTATTTTTGCCTTTTTTAATTAGCTCCTATATCATTTATTTTTTCGACGCCAATTTTAACGTTGCCACCCTCAAGGGTTTTCTGATTACGTACCCGTGTCACCCAGACCTATAACAACAATTTGTGAATCTCACAAAGAGTATTGTTTATAATTACTACCCATTTATTGTAATGTGGTGGCGCAAAGCTGACACAACACCCACGTGAAACATTGTCGTTGTTGTGTTTCGTTGCCTGAGTGAGGTCGACTCCAACTATAGGAGGAGGCCCAAGCCTTTTCCATTCACCAATCCTTAAATCCCTAAAACTCTTCAATACGGCGGCGAAGCACTTGTAACTCCTCTAGAATAGGTGGACTCTGATGGCAATGGACAGAGACGATTGCGTACCATCACATGATCCATCAAATTGTTTGCCGCCGGCAACCGGCAGTTGTTCAATGGGTCGAGGGTTTGATTGTAAACTTCTTTTTTGGGTACGCTTAATGCAACCACGGTGCAGGACATTTTCGTACATAAGAGTTCACTTTCACTTTAACCTATTACTTTAAATTCCATGTACATAATATTAGCTAAGGATTTTTCGTATAACTTCATTCAGTTTTATAGAGAATTTATCAGCCATAACAGCGTTAAAATCCTCTTCTAAGAACAAAAAATCTATTTAAAGAGTGTCATGAGTAATTTAATTAGTTACACCCACCGGCCCAATCCTTTGTTGGAATAGGGTGCTAATGAAACTCGTTAATGTTCTTTCAAAATTAACCTTTTTACTGAACAGTAATGAACTTGTTTCTTATTTACATACTTCATTGCTTTCCAAGTTATACAGTTCGGAAGTGACTTTTTGTTTGTCGTATAAATAGTAAATAATGAATAACCTACAGGGCATTTAAATTAAATTTTAATAATTAAGAACATTTTAATCTGAGTGTCCTTTTAAGAGCAACTTTTCTCCATAATTTATTTCAATAAGTCTAGTCAATAATTTAGGTAACTAAAAAGTTTCTTTAATTACAATATTTTACTAAGTACCAGTGCACTTTCGATTTTTTTACAATATTTTGTAATAGTAATTATTGTGAGACACGCTATAAATTTTACTATTAAAAATAACGATTGTTGAGTGTCAAGACAAACTGCGTCAGATAGATATTGATCAAAAATTATTTCCAATCCACAGATCTCAACCGATTTTACAGAAGACAATAGAAGCTTTATTCAGGGACCGAACAAACGAGATGTACCCTGGATCCTGTAAACTGATTATAGCATCAAAGCGACAAAATAAAATTTGTGACAGAGACACAGGATTATCAAACGTTCTGAGTATTGCTAAGGAACAAGCCATTGTGGCCTGTGAAGAAACCTTCCAATATGACAGGTGGAATTGTTCTCTCGTGTTCAATAGAAAGGCCAAAAGGAGCATATTTAATAAACTATTCAGAGAAACCGCTTTCATCCATGCTCTGATGGCAGCTTCCATCACGCATTCAGTAGCAAAGGCATGCGCCTCCGGAGATCTATCCTCATGTTCTTGTCCCGGAAATTTTGGCAAAAACAATACTTGGAAAATGGCAGGCTGTGGAGATGACTTCAGACACGGTAAAAGGGTCACAAAAAACTTTCTGGACTTCAAACATGCTGGTAACGATCAAATTGCGGAAATGCTAAAGCAAGATGTGATTGTTGGAGTCGATTCTATAGGAGAACAGCTAAAAGAAGTTTGCAAATGCCACGGATTCTCAGGGTCTTGTACTACGAAGACATGTTGGAAGCGATTGGGGCCATTTAACTCCGCTATGGGCCTTTTAAAGAAGCACTACCACCATGCGGTGAAAAAGAAAATCATGAACTATACGACGAAAAGAGCGATAGCTCCAAAAGTGAGGAACAGAATGAAGGTTGAAAGGAAAAACTTGTTGTATTTGCAGAAGACCCCTAATTTGTGTGTCAGTACTAAAGGCAGGATATGTAAGGATAGACATAACTGTGCAACATTATGTTGTGGTAGGGGCATTATTACTAATAAGAAAACTGTTGCTTCAAGATGCAGATGTAGGATGGTCAACTGCTGTTTTGTGCAATGTGATACTTGTGTTGAAGAGGTTGATCAATTTACTTGTAAGTGAGTTTCTGTGCCATATTAGTACTTGTTAGGTTTGTAGTGTGAGTACAGCTATGTGCTGAGCAGAATCTGGTGTGTAATTTGCTTCAACGATGGCCAGATAATTTTTGTAACTTATCCAACCTGTCTATTCTTTTAGGAAATGCAACAGTGTGTTATTTTTGTTCTTTAAAATAATTTAATACCATTCATCGGAAATCGATACCTACACAAAGTTTGGACAAATATTCTTAACAATCTCAAAGAAAAATACTTGAGGACATTTATGGAAACTAGTTTTAAGGTGTAGACTCAAAACTACAAAATTTTAAATGAAATTGTAAACTATTTTTACTTATTTAAATATTAATTGCTCATACATTTGTTTTAAGATAAGATTGTATGTGATATGCGGCCGAGACGAGGTGTGTCTGTGCGTTATGGTCGGTCTAGCTGTGATATTAATGGTGGGCTTTAGTTTAGCTAGGTAAGCGCTGTAAATGCAACTATTGCATTTGTTGGGAAGATTATACTTGCTTTTTCAATAAATATTTTTGGTTTTATTTTTATTTTCACTCGAATGTTTAACAAGCGTTTCGACTTCGCTGTATGTAAAAAAAAATTTTTGAGTCTTGAGTTTTCAAAATCTGTGCTCTCTCTTTATTAAATACTGTTACGTGCCTGACGTCACGTTCCTGACTATAATAATAATAATAATTAAATCATTTATTGGTGTTAACAAAAAACTTTATACAATATAGACCCACCAAACTGTTTAGACAGTTTGACGGCGGGAATAGCGCTCGTTATAGCATCGTTTACATATACATATTTAAAAAATCGGAACAAATCAGGAAAAACAGTAGACAAAAACAAAATCAAAGAATAAAATAAAATAAAATAAAACTAAAGAGTAATTAATTTAAACTAAAAGATCGAAGAAGTTACCTATGTGCGTTAGCTAACATTATTAGAGAACTCTGTATTTAACATTTGTAGCACTTTCTTTTTGAGGGAATATCTGCTTATTTGAGTGTCTATTTGCCTCAACCAGTCATTATTGTTGTACAACATGGGGATCAAATACTTGTTGGTTCTTGACCCGTAATTGTTTTTCCTGGGCGGGCAGACTAACTTATTTTCTCTTACGCGTCTTGTATTGTACTTATTCACTATTTTTATTTTTATTTGTTCATTATAAAACTGTTCAAGAATCACCAAGTATCTGACCCGAACATGAACAGGAAGTATTTTACAGGTAACATACAGTCTATCGTAATTTTCTTTACATTTAAGTCTAACTTTAGGTGGTACGAGATATTTCAAAAATCGGGTTTGCAGGGACTTGATATCATCTAGATAAGATTTAAAAGTGCGGCCATATACACTTAAACCGTAACCTATTATTGAATCGACTAGAGCAAAATATACAATCCGCAATGTTTTTCTACTTAGTGGCGCTTTTAGTGCATAGAACTTGGTTAAAACAGTTCTGAGCTTCGTACACACCGTGTCAACATGCGTCCGCCAGTTAGCGTTGCTATCTACCCACAGACCGAGGTATTTAAAGGTTGGAACGAGTTCTACATTTTGACAGAAGCAACTACTAATTCTCGCGTGTAAACACTCATATGTGTGGCCCTGTATATATATGTCTGATCTATCAGTGACTATGCGGGCTTGGGTTACGGGATTGGATGAAATAAAACACTAATACCGGTTTTAGACTTTCTATTGCACTTAGATGACAAGTTAAGAGTTAAGTTATCGGCGTTCCTCTCCAGCAGAGTCCGGGCGACTGACACAAACTTCCGTTTGCCGCTCACTGTTCACGCTGACTTTCACTTAACTCACTGCACTTCACTATTTCACTCACTTTTCTTCTTTTTCACTTCTTCCTTTTCTTCCGAATCGCTTTGGACTTAGAACTCAACTGCCAGCGGTGAGCCGCAGTTCCGCTTATATACCCCCGGTCAGGTTCTGGAACATTCAATTTCGTCATTCTTTTTGATCGTCATGCCTCCAGAACCTTCCAAAAATTTCGTTATTCATTTTTATTTATTCTCCTTCTCGCTCTTTAATTTTTCATTTCTTTTACACAAATAATTCCAGAAAGTTCGACAAAACTTCCATCAACTAAAAAACTTCATGTTTACGGCGGGACTCGAACTCGGGGTCTCTGTGGTGTAATCCACACGCCTTACAGATTACACCAACTCGTGTTGACAATTCACGACGAAATTTACAATCTCTAGGCAACGTTTGACAACCATCCATTGACGTCATGATGTCAAAGAGTTTGAACCACTTTTCCGTCACACTGCCCTCCTCTTAGATTTGCTCGTCCCGAGCATCGTTGCTGCCGTAATACCTCGCCAACCTGTCTATATGGACAACTTTCAAAGGGCTCCTTAAAGTCTTCCGAATTCTGTAAGTAATGTCATTGATCTTCGTGACTATCTCATAAGGACCTTCCCAACTCGGTTGCAGCTTCGGAGATTTTCCCTTCCTTCTGACTGGATTATGAAGCCAGACCAATGACCCCTCTTCAAACCCATCAGAATTGGCTCGTCGATCATAGCGCGTCTTTGCGCGATCACTAGCTTGAAGACCGGCCTCTCTGATCTGCTCATAAATGTCCAACATTTTTGCCCTTAACTCGCTTATGTAATCGCTAAACTCGGTGCGAGTGTCGCCAGGTGGACAGCCCGATACAAGATCTGCCGGTAATCTCAATTCCCTTCCAAAATTTGCAAATGCAGGCGTCTTTGCGGTACTTTCATGTACAGCAGTCCGATAGGCAAGCAAGAAGAGAGGTATGTAAGTGTCCCAATCTCTCTGATGGCTGTCAACCACCTTTGCTAAGTGTCGCTCCAATGTTTGGTTGAAACGTTCGACCATTCCATCTGACTGTGGATGATAAGGGGTCGTTCGAGTCTTATGGATTCCCAAAAGTTTACAAGTTTCCTGAAAAACTTGAGATTCAAAGTTCCGTCCTTGATCACTGTGCATCTCCAAGGGCACTCCGAATCGGGTGAATACCTCGTTTACCAACTTCGTGGCTACAGTTACTGCCTCTTGATTCGGTATGGCAAAGACCTCCGGCCATTTTGTAAAATAATCCATAACCACTAAAACGTAGCGATTGCCCGAATCAGTGATTGGAAATGGTCCAGCGATGTCTAAGGCTATTCTCTCCCAAGGCATACCAACATTGTAGATTTTCATCGCCCCTCTGCTTCTTGTTTGTGGACCCTTGACAGCTGCACAGCTAGTGCATTTCCGGCACCAATCTTCGACGTCATATTTGCAATGCAGCCAATAAAACCTCTCCTTGATCTTCACCAAAGTCCTCCTAATTCCCAAATGTCCTCCAGAAGATCCATCATGGAACGCTTTTAATACATCCCTTATTTTTGAACGAGGCACCACCAATTGCAAATGCTCGTCCTTGCCGTTTGTTGATTCCCATTTCCTGCACAGAAGTCCATTATGCAGCGTAAGGCTTTTCCACTGTGCCCATAAACCTTTCGTTACCGCGCTATATTGGGCGACGTCACTCCAACTTGGCTTGTTACCACTTCGTAGCCACTCCAGTATTGGTTTAATATCTGCATCTCTTTCCTGTTCTAATTTCATCGCATCATCTCCCCATGCCTCGTCAACAGTATCAGTCCTGATCACCTTAAGAAAAGCAGTTTCCTTCTTGGCACAATGCTTGCAATCTTCCACGCATGGGCGTCTCGATAATGCATCTGCGTTGCCATGAATTCTTCCTCCGCGATGTTCGATTTCAAAGTCAAATTCCTGAAGTTGTTCCAACCATCTGGCTACTTGGCCTTCGGGATCCTTAAACTGAAGCAGCCATTTCAAAGCAGCGTGATCTGTTCTGATCAAAAATTTCCGTCCCAGTAAATACTTCTTGAAATGGTGCAGAGTTTTGACTACGGCCAGCAATTCCCTCCTGGTCACGCAATAATTCCTCTCCGGCTTGGATAGTGACTTGCTGAAGTAAGCAATAACCTTCTCCTGCTCACCATCGCGTTGTGAAAGGACACCTCCTATTCCTATATTGCTGGCATCCGTATCTACTACGAATATTCCTTTCGCGCTGGGGTATCCGAGAATTGGTGTGTTACAAAGCCCTTCTTTTAGTTCTCGAAAGGCTTGCTCACAATCCTCGTCCCAGATAAAGGCACGTTTCTCCTCTGTCAATCGATGCAAAGGCTTGGCAATGTCCGAGAATCCTTTCACAAACCGCCGATAATACGAGCACAATCCAAGAAATGCCCGAACTTGCGTTTTGTCTTTAGGTGTTGGCCATTCCTTAACAGCGACAGTCTTGGCTGGATCAGTCTCAATTCCCCTCTCAGAAATAACATGTCCTAGATAATTCACTTCGCGCTTGAAGAAAGAGCATTTCTTTGGACTCAACTTTAAATTTGCTCCACGCAGCTTGTCGAGTACTTTTTCCAATTTCCTTAGATGATCGTCAAAATCCCGTCCAACAATGATGATGTCATCGAGGTAAACTAGGCAGGTTTCGCCCAGCAGTCCCGCCAGCACCTGTTCCATCAAACGCTCAAAGGTTGCCGGTGCATTGCATAATCCAAATGGCATCACCTTAAATTGCCAGAGTCCCTTCCCAGTTGAGAACGCGGTCTTTTCCTTGTCCTTGGGATCCAAATCCACCTGCCAATAGCCGCTTTTCAGATCGAGCGTTGAAAACCATTTCATGCCACTCAGTGTGTCAAGTGTGTCATCGATTCTTGGTAACGGGTAGCTATCCTTCTTGGTTACATCATTCAATCGTCGATAGTCTACGCAAAACCTCGTTGAACCATCTTTCTTCTTGACAAGCACGACAGGTGAACACCAAGGGCTAGAAGAGGGCTCTATCACGTCATTTTTCCTCATATCGTCAATCATTTCTTCAACCTCTTTCTCACGAGCGAATGGTATGCGTCTGGGCCTTTGACGAATTGGCATTGTATCACCTGTGTTTATTTTATGCTTCACCAAACCAGTTCGGCCAATATCACCATCGCTTCTTGAAAACACATCAGAGAATCGAAGAAGTAAATTTCTAGCTTTCATAGTCTCCACTTTTGTCAGACTTTTGTTTTCGTCTAAGATTTTCGTTACAAAGTCTATTCCCGTACTGTCCTTCTTCACAAGACTTTCCGAGCATTTTCTTATCCAGGCCACTTCTTCCAATACGCCCACAGGCTCTCCTTCTTCAATCGTAATTTCTGAATCACTGAAGTTAAATACCGGAATGCGGTTAACATCAGATGACCCCACGACAGTTCTTGCCGGTAGCCATGAGTTTACGTGTTCCGATTTATCAATCACAGCGCACCTTCGAGGTAAACTTCCTTCCCTCCTCCTAGGTAATGCGATTGGTACAAGAGTCTGTGATTTTGGTGCAAGAACAGTTCTTCTTAAACAGAAAACTTTTCCCAGGGTTCCACCCTTCATCGGAATTTCCTCAGTTCCACATAGTAATACTCCATATTTTAAGTC